TAGTAGGTTCCTCGGCCAAGTGCCACCCCAGAACCGCAGTGCCAACCCTCGCGCAAGTCTGGGCCCGGAGTGCGATGAGGTGAAAGTTTTGGCTGGAAAACTGATAACTCGGTAACGGAAAGATAGAAAGCTGAAGTTTTGAGGTAATGTTTTCCGCCCACATATAACTCAAAGATTTCAAATTCAGCCCCCAGTCGTACGTGGTTCCCCCGCACAGTCCGCGAAATTTTTTGACGGGAAAATGGCTAACTCGTGAACTAGCAAAGCTGGGAAGCAAAGACTTTAGAAGGATATTCCCTGTCCCAATATAGATTAAGATTTCAAATTCAGCCTCCATGTACGCGTGGTTCACATGTACGGGCACTCAAATTTTTGGCGAAAAAATATCGTTGAACAGCTGAGTCATTTTCAAATAAAGACGACCTCTAAACAGAAAATGTTTATTTCCTTTTATGCAAAATTTACGATGATTTGCAGTATTGAGCGCACAAGGTAGGTGTCAAGAAACAGCCATTTATGCAGTTAATCACTTCAAGTTTGTGTAAAAACGCATGATCGCATCGGCTCGCCCGGTGCGTTCCAGCCTGGGTTTCACAAACGACCGCTCGAGCAATACTTCCACTTTTTAGTGAACTGGAAATTTGCATTATTTCAAAAAATTATTTTCTCAAGAAGCGGGCATTTGCCGAAATCATTGGCGTCGCCCACCGGGCGGGCCCGTGTGACCATGCGTTTTTACAATATTTCGCGCTGTAATGAAATCGTCCAAAAACCTGATAGCTAGGATTTGCGATATACTAGTCCTCGAAGTTCGGGAAGTTATTTGTCTGCGCGGCACTTGGACAGGGAACATTCCGTTAAAATTTCAGCTTTCCTACTTCTTCCGTCCTAGAGTTAGCAATTTTTCTGCCAAAAAATTTCATAGGTTCGTACGTGAGAAATTTCATGGGTTCATGCGTGTCTGGGAACTGAATTTGATATCTTCAGCTATTGCTGAGGCTGGGTACACGCTCTGAAAATTTCAGCCTCTTAGCTTACCTGGCTCTCGAGTTAGCCGTTTTCCCGCCAAAAAATTTCACGGGGCCGTACGCGATAAGCATGCCCGCCTGGGAACTGAATTCGATGATATTAAGTAGAGCTGCTGCTGCTGCTGCCGCTGCTGCTGCTGCTGCTGCTGCTGCTGTCGCTGCTGCTGCTGCTGCTGCTGCCGCTGCTGTTGCTGCTGCTGTTGCTGTTGCTGTTGCTGTTGCTGTTGCTGTTGCTGTTGCTGTTGTTGTTGCTGCTGCTGCTGCTCATCCAGCGCGGTAGGCCGCTCGGAAATAGAAGCTCCTCGCCCTTCGTTTTCTCCAACAGTTGGTCATCACGACAACGATCACAGAACAGCGCGTTATGCGCCAAAATGTTGTTCAAGTCTGCATTGGCTGCATGTAGGGAACATTCCATGAAAATTTCAGCCTAATAGTTTCTCTGGCTCCCGATATAGTCGCTTTCCCGCCAAAAACTCCGTACGCCTGGGTCTGAGCCCGATGACTTTAAGTTGTACATGAACTGGAAATAATACCTGAAAATTTCAGCCTCCCAAATTCCCCAGTTCCAAAATTAGCGGTTTTCACGCCTGGAATCCTCACGGGGCCATACGCGGGTACCAAGCACACTTGGCGGCTGAATTTGAAGCCTTTGAGCTCTACATGGACGGGGATCATAGGGTTATAGCTTATGTGGTTCCTGAGTTAGCGATTTTCGCCCCAAAATTTTAGCCCTCTCGTATGCGAGGCCCAGACTTGCGTGAAAGTTGGTACCGCGGTCCTGGGGTGGCACTTGGCTTGGAACCCACTTGCAAAATTTTGGTGCCGGGGCTGGCTTGGCGCCGAGTTGAAACACTCGGACTGACGCACACACACACACACGCACACACGCACATACACACACACACACCGGGGTCGTCCAACATGCGTTTTCGCACTTGCATATATGAAAAAAACGTATAAAAACGACCGAGCTTCATGCAAAAAACCCAGGCTGGAACGAACCAGACGAGCCGGTGCGATCATGCGTTTTTGCATCAAGCTTTGAAGTACCGTCACTCAAAAAGGAGGAGTAGGGAAGAAAGAAGGGGAATTCCACTTTATGCCACCATTCAGCTGAGGACCGGGTTTGATCATTTGTGCGAAACGACGAATTAAAGGCCCATCGCTACCCCGCACATTGACCATGATAACTTCAACTTCCAAGCTTCAAGTTGTATCGAAATGAAAGGTATCGACGTTGAAAGTAGTGATACATCCGTCCTTCCCCCGCCCCCTTCCCCCTTCCCCTTCGCATCTCCACCCTCCTCCCGGACATGCATCTTTTCGAAGAGATGATACCGGGTTGCAGTATACAGTACATTTACAAAGAGTACGGTGCGATGCTGTGGCCCTTACCCTGGACATGCATCTTCTGGAAGCGGTGATAATGGCCTGCATTATACAGTACAATTGCAAAGCGGTATTCTGTAAGTACGGTACGATGCGATATACTGTGGTGCACAGCCCCGCTGAGCGGTCTGACGCTGCTCACTTGTGGTTTGTTTGGTTCGGTGTTGGACAGAGGGTCGGTTTTGCGTAGAAGAGGGGGGTAGGGAGTGTTGAAGAGGGTCGGTGTCGAGGACGGTCGGTGTTAGGGGCGG